GTGGAGGATGCCTGTGAAATCTACGCCAGAGCAGCCAACATGTTTAAGATGGCAAAGAACTGGAGTGGTAGGTGACACACACACACACACACACACACACACACACACACCATGGATTATTTTATGGAAATTTAGCACAGTATGGTGATAAAATGTGACGTTTCATGGCTGCAAGAATGAGTGTTTGCGCCAGATAGGGCAGATATGCCAATAATAGCTCACGCTGTGCAGCATTTAGAGGCTTAGATGTGTGTCTTGAGGATGTGATTTGTGTGTGTGTATAGCCGCAGGGAATGCGTTCTGTCAGGCCGCTCGGCTCCACATGCAGCTGCAGAACAAACTGGATTCGGCCACCAGCTTCGTCGACGCCGGCAACGCCTTCAAGAAGGCCGACCCACAGGGTGAGCACACACACACACACACACACACACACACACACACACACACACACACACACACACACACACACACACACACACACACACACACACACACACACACACACACACACACACCAACACACATACACACACATACATAGAAATCTCAGGTATATCTCATCTGTTTATATTTCTTTATCTCTACATTTTGTTTTTTCTGTCTTTAATATTTGGCTACAAACTCAAATGAATGAATAAAGATTATTTTTTATTTTACTTAAAAACATTTGAAAACAGGACTTTTTATTTTTTCTTCTACTATGTATCTAAAAAATTGTGTTTATATTAATTATCATCTTATCAATTTAACGTCAGCTGCACATAGTCCCTTGATCCTCCTTGAAAACGGTCTGTTCTCTTTAGCAACGGTCTGTTATTGAAAATTAACAGACCTATGGAATGTCCAGATTGACCAATGAGAATGGAGTATTCAATTTAACCGTGTCACAGATTAGAAGATAATTTCTACACAGTGGTATTAGACCTTTTACTTCAGTATTTGAGTAGTTTTTCCACGACTGGTGTGAATTTACCTCTCTTCATATTTTAATGTAAGACTCGAGGGGAAGCCTGTGGATCAGAGTCAGGACCCTGAGGAGGTTTCATTCAAAGATTAAACTGGGTTTGCTCGAGGAAAAATGATATCATGCAGCTTCACTGTGATTTAATGAAATACTACAGGTTAGCAGGTGATAGCCGCCGGGGAGGAAACTGAAGGAGTTCTTATTAGATTTAGCAGAAGGCTTCAGCAGACACTCTTCAGTTCTTCTTGGATTTACAACATAACATTACATTTAGCTGACGCTTTTATCCAATGTGTTACAATTGACCACGAAGACACAAACTGAGAACAGCAAATAAATAAATATGATCTTTTGAAAGTATTTTAACCTCCTTTCTCTCTTATCTGTCTTCTTCCAGAGGCCATCAACTGTCTAAACCAGGCCATTGACATCTACACCGATATGGTAAGCCTTCAACCAAGGAGTGGTGCAGGAATGAGTCCCCAACCGGGTAATGAGTCAGCATTTTAGCACTTCCTGTTCCCTCATCTTGAAGTCAATCGTTTTTTAATGTGTTTTTAGTTGGAGGACTGAAAAGGGTCTGTGGTTAACACGAGCCGAAGAGATTTTAACGTTCTACGACATCAAATACGTCAGGAACCCTGAACATTAGCCACCTTTAGCTTAACGCTATTGACGTGAAACCATGTGATTGTGCTGTATTTCATTTATAACATTAACTTTATACTTCAAAAATCATAAACTAGTGTTAATATGTGAAGATTATCCTACTGAACAAAATTTGTAAGTATTATAAACATTAGTTTGCCAGATTGTTTATTTTCTCCAATAATCCAAATGG